TCCGAGACAAATCTTGGTGATGCAAATGGCCATCAGCATTCGAACAGGTTGTGGTGAATTGGTTTGATGTTTGGTGCTAAGCCGTACGATAAATCAATCTTCCAGCTTGCCCAGTAATCTCCGGGGGGGAAAAAAAAAAAGACTCAACTTGGAAAGTAAAATCTGGGTCAGGTTTTATTTTGGAAGGATTGAAAATTGAGAGCATGTTTGATTACTTGTTTAAAAAAAGGATAAAAAAGTAAAATACTCACAAAGTGATCGGTCATGGGCATTCAGTATCCTAAAATGAGTAAAAAAATAAAAATACTCATAATTTTATATGAATAAGTGTAAAAGTAACTTGACCGTTAAATGCTAATTGTGCGTACCACATGTCAGTCTTTGCTAACATAGACTAATAAAGAAGCAAAAATATTCACGAAGTCATCGTCTAGAAACAAAAATACTCACAAAGTCATAAACTAGGAGCAAAAATACCCATAATATTATTAGAGTTAGTACAAAAGTAATTAATCCATTTAATCCTTTAAATGTTGACTGTTTAGTTGACATCTAAGCAAAAGTTGACCATTTTTTTCATTGATATATACAAAAAATATTTCTAGATGAAATTCTCTGGAGATTAATCGATCATTGTATGAATATTATATGAGAAGATGTCATTTTGATTGAATATCAAATTAAATCGCTTGTTTCTTTGTAGCAGTGGTAAAAATTATTTGAAAATTTTAAACCTATCATGAATGCAATTGCTTAAAGTTGTGATATTGTTCTTAAGCTAGATGTATTCAGTCTCAATTTTTAATTTTGTACAACCTATCTTACTATGTTAAATCTTAGGTTTTGCAGCTAAGAAAAATAAGTGAAGCAAGAGAAAGGAAAGAGGCAAGATACGTGATGATGAAAAAAAGCCATGTGGTATTGAGTTTGATGGATTGATCATTATTGCACTTATTAAAGTAATATCATAGGTACTCATTGATGATTGATTAACATCCGTAAAAATTCATCTGGGAATATTTTTTATCCACAACAACGAAAAAATAGTCAATTTCTTCTTAGATATCAGTTAAACGATTAATATTTAAGGGATTGGATGGATTGATTACTTTTGCACCAATTCTGATAATGTTATGAGTATTTTTCTCCTGACCTATGACTTCATGGATATTTTTACTCTTGGGTGATGATTTCGTAGGTATAATTGCCCCTTTATTAATTCACATTAACAAAGATTAACACGTGGCATGCATAATCAGCATTTAACGGCGTTAGGGCAAAGTTAATCGTCAGGTTATTTTTGCACCTATTCTATAGTGTTATGGGTATTTTTGCCCTTTTCCTCACTTTAGGATACTAAATGCCCATAACTGACCACTTTGTAGGTATCTTTGTCCCTTTACCCTTAAAAAAAAAAAAATAAAAAATAAAAGTTATTCTAAAAAACCAAAACATCTTTATTACTTTAATTTTGCAAAAGAGGGAAAAATGTACTCCCTTCATTAAAAAATATAAAATATTTTTAATTAAATTTTATCCCAATAAAGTAGTTCTTTATCTTAAAACTAACCATGTCTTTTTATATTTATTCTTACTTAATTGGGTGTTTCGGTCTAAAATAAATATAAAGTGATTTATTCAATAAGAACACTTTTAAAAAAAAATAATGACTATATTTTAAAAGACTAAATTTTTTTTACATTTGTTAATATTCAATATTTTAAAAAATATTTTATATTTTTTAATGATGGGAGTAGAAAATAGAGAGAATCTCAACTAGGACTTTCATAAATAAATTAATCACATGCAAGGTTCAAAAAATTATGAAACACTTCTATAGACCCAAAGACCTCAATTATGATTAATTTTTTTATTCAATTATTAAAATGTCATTCCCTTTCTATTTTCTAAGAAAAAGTCTTGTCACCAATAACCGGCGGGGTTGTTAACCATTAATTAAATATGCCAAAAGGTCAAGGGTGAATTTGAACATTGACCCCTTGGCTTCTCAAAACAAAAGAAATCATCAAGCTAACAAATACTTTAATATATATAGTGCAAAATTATATATATATATATATATATATTGTGTAACTTTGATTTCCTAGTATTTTATCTATCATGACATATTTTAAATATCTTATTGTATATATATGAATAATCACTTATAAATGTTTAAATATGATTTGTTCATGTATAAAAAAAGTTATCAATTTTTTAAAACTCAATTTATTCTTTTTTTTTTACAACTTATTTCTTCAATGTTAATAAGTTATCAATATTATATTAAATAAAAAATATATACGTTATAAATTTATTTTTCACGCATTTTCACGAGCTTTTGATAATCATAGACATTTTGTTATTAATATCAAAACATTCACTTATAAATGTTCAAACATCACTTGTTCATACATAAAAAAATTATTAATTTTTTAAAACCTAACTTATTCTATTTTTTATAGCTTGTTCTTTCAATGTCAATAAATTATCAATATTATATTAAATAATATATATGTTATAAATTTATTTTTCAAACATTTTCACTTATTTTTGTTAGTCATGAACACCTTGTTAATGTCAGAATATTCAATTGTATATATCCAAACATCACTTGTTCATACATAAAAAAATTATTAATTTTTTAAAATTCAACTTACCCTATTTTAAAAGACTAGAACAAACTTGAGAGGCCAAACAAAAAACTAAAACAAATTTAAGGAATTAAAAGATGCATTATCTCTTGTCTTAATTATTGTTCTAGTCTATAAAATTTAATCCTTATCCATCAAATTTCTAAAATTCATACCCAATTAATCTTTATAATGTTATTTCCCCTTGTAAAGACTAATAAGGTACGTTTATTAAATTTTATGGATTTGATTTGTACAATTTAAACTTGATAGATGAATCGAAGGGATGAACCATTTTATTATTCCTAGAAGGTTCAGAGGGTAAAAATGCCCTAAAAATTTTTTTAAAGAAGTATTCGGCATCTAAAACTATTTTTTTGGAGCAAATTTATCTTGAAATTTACAAAAGAGAGAGCAATTTTACCCTAGAGCCTTACCGTTTGCTTACAACTGGCATTTTTTAAAAAAGAAACAAATCTGTGGCCAATCGTCTCCATCTTCTTCTTTCTCCTCTTCCTCCACTCTCTCTAACTCAGGACCGGCGTCAATTGCGATCCTCTCTCGGAGACGTCACGTCTCTCAACCTCCCCAGCTCACAGGTCCAGGGACAGCACGATCCATGAACGCTGCATGTATACCCCTATCGGCACCCACCATGGGCAGGATGCAACACTGCAACTGTTGGTGCCGGCGATGCATCACTCGCAAACAGCTTCGAAGTCAGGAGAAGGCCATGCCGCTGCAGCAGAGGACGACGGGGCAACGGTGATCGCCGTTGATAATACATACTGTCAGATTTCTCGTTCATAGTCTTGTTTCTGCATGAAAATTTAACAGTAGAACTCATGACATGCGTGGGATTTCAGCTTTCAGGGAACAAGAGCGAGACTTTGTCTAAGAACTGCGGTGAGCTGGAGAAACAAAAGTACAGAAACGAGGAAAAGATAGACAAAGTGAAGGCTCAAGCAACAATGAGGGAGCCAGAAGATTACAAAGAAGTAAGCAGAATCCAAGGAGTGGGATACTACGACGCGTTCAAGCTTCAAAAAGACGAGGAAGACTTCAAAAGAGGCTATTGCTAGCAGGCATGTGAGACAAGATCATCAAAATTCTGAAGAGGTACGAAATGCCAGATGATTTCGAAGGCAAAGCAGTGTGAGTAGAGATGGGAACTCAGTTCCGGTGATCGGGTGGAGCCACTGGACATAGCAAATCACTACAGACACTTGGAGAATGAAGACATAGGACCGTACATGGACAGGAGGCCAAAACGATACAGGAATACACAGAGATGGCTTGAGCATGCGATGAGAATGGAGACAGGGGCTAGCTCGGAGTCGTGCTTCTGGGCTGAGACGGAGGAGCTGGCGAGCAAGACGAAGAAGGGAGTGTTTGATGGAGAATTCAAGAAGAGGGTTGAGAAGCTGGAAGATGAACTCATCAGGCGGGGTGGAAGTGATGAGGCTGTGAAGGATGTGTTGTTGGAGGAGATCACTTTTGCCAGGTGGTGGAATTGCAAGCTGCCTCAGGGCTGGAGAGGCGAACCGCTTTCGGTTTCAGTTGGTCACCAAGATGGTCCAAATTTACCGGATTTATTTAAAAAATTACAAAATTTTAATAAAACTACCATGAAATAAAAATAATGTAGATTTAATTTAAATACTCTAATTCAATGTTATTTTTTTAATTTTTCATAAATTAATTATTTAGATCTACTTTGAACAATTTAAATTTAAAAATTTTAAATTACAACTTTTTCTTAATTTTTTTAAATACTGAGATTATTTTTATCTTTATTCTTAATATTATATTTACTAGTACAAAAAATTATAAAAAATGTAATATTAAATTTAAAATATTCAAAATATATATATAGAAAGTTAATTTATAAAAATTATAAAAAAATTAATATTAAATTAAATCATTCAAACTAAAGCTACATTGTTCATATTGATAATTAAGCAGCTTTATTAAATTTTTATAATTTTTTATAATAAACATAAAATTAATATATAAAATTAAAATATACTATAAATTTAGACCAAATAATCATCAGGTAATAAGCACCAAAACCAAATGAGAAAGTGAAAGGGGAGGAGGGATTAAAAAAAGAAGAAGAAGATATTTTTGCCTTTTAACTGTTTCTAAAATAAAGCAAAAGCATTCAGTTTGTTTATTTATTTTTATTTTTGGATCAGTTGTATAATTATATAATATTGAAAACCAAATTATGGCTCAGAAAAGAAAACCAAAAAAATCATAATTATAAATTAATAAAAATAAACTGTTATTGGGGGTAGTTTATTTTGTTATTGAGTAATTAATTTTCGACCTATACTAAATTTTTCGTAAAATTATAACCCTGATAAAACATATTCTCGGGAGTTGGGAGTGAGTGGCGGATTCATTTCTCTTCGTCGGCGAACAAGTCTGCCATATTCCGTCGGACGCCATCCAGCGTTGTCAGCCCTGTGTGGTTGTTCTTGGTCAAGCAGTGAAGAAGATTCGAACCCTGCTGCTTTTTCTACCCCCAAAATTCGGTGAGATTGATTTGTTCAATATGGCTTTGAATCTAGTTTTGAATTTGTTCCCCGCGTGGCTGTTCTTGCTTTGTTTTAAATTTTTCATTTTAATTTGGCTTTGAATCTGGTCGTGTAATCATTTGAATATTGACGCTTTTGAATTTGGGAATATTTACAGATTGTGTTTTTTTGTGCTGGTTTTTGCTTGAATGGTGTGTAATTGGCTATTATACTTCTTCCCTCCTCATTTTGATTACTAGCGACTTGTATGATTTGGATTGCGTTGTTTTGTAATGTTGGATTTGTGTGTATTGGCATTCTGTTTATTAATCTTTATATATTATCATCAGTTTTTGAAAATTCTCAAGGTATTTGTGATGTTGGTCTTGTAAATGACTCTCGAGTTGTGTCAAAGTATCTGGAACAAAAAATTAAAAGGGTATTATATCAGCTATGCATATTTCAAAGATTTCAGTGGTGGCAGATGCCCCCGCTGAGTGTAGTGTAGGTCCGCCTATGGTCTCTGGTTAGTTTTGCTTTCTTCTTTCTTCATTTATAGTTCCTCTCTTTGTTTTGTTTTTTTTTCTTTGGTATATTTTTCTCCGCATGTATTGTTTTTAATCAATATGTTAAATATGAGGTCCCTGTGATCTCGGTGTGGAAGTTAGGCACCTCGATGAAAAAAAATTACTGAATGGTAAGTATCCTTTTGTAGTGACCTTCTCAGTTGAATGCTTCTATAGTTCTATTAGAATCGGGTGTTTTATTTTGCCAGAAATGAGATTGTAAAAGTCTGAGTGTCCTATTTTTGGGTGACTTTGTGAAGAAAAAGATATATTATTGCTAAACACCTTGATTGGGTTCTTGTGCATCTTAAAATCACATCGTATAGCTTTATGCCAGGCAACCACATCAAGAAGCAATTATGCTGCCCTTCATTTTTCCCTCAATCACTTCAACTACAATTTGATCCTTATTTTAATTTGTATTTTGGCTTATTCTGATTCAAAACAAATTGTGAAGATAGTTATTCAACTAATCAGATCAGTTGTGTATGATGTGATTAACATGGTTACGGACAACAGTCACAGTCAAAATCTGTTGGAGAAACCTAGTCTAATAGCTTGGAGCCTATTGTCTATTTGCTAATAAATTTTGCATTTTCATCTTCGGTGTATTGCCTGACAGAGAAGCAAGTAAATGGTAGTTCAACCAAAAAGGTAAAGAAAGAAGAGAAGGATTATGGCAGGCAAAGCTGCTAGTTCAGTGGCGAAGGCTGTAGGAGAATATCAGTATCCATGGCGTGAGAAGTTGGCAAAGTATAAGGATGAACTTGCCAAGGGTGTTTGGGGATATTGGGAGATGGGAGCTTGGAAGCCACTTGGTATTAGTGCTCGGCGTAGAGCTAGGCTTCGCAAGGAAGTGCTTCTTGCTGGCAAAGATTGGCCTTATGATCCAGAAAGGAAGGAGATGAAAACCAGAAGGAAAGGGCATAAATGCGACAGGATTGCTGCCGAAAAAAGGGAAAACACTGCAAGATTGATGGAGAAGATGCCAGAGATGTTGCTGGATTACAAGAAGCGCAGGTGGGAGAAGAAGATGAAGGAAGAAGACAAAGGCAAATAGTAAATTTTTGTGCAATATTGCTCTGTGCTTAGTTCATCCTGAGTTTAGCTAAGAAAGAAGTTGGTGTGCTGTAGCTTCATATATGGATTTAACAATGCTGCTGTATCGCGATGTTGTGCGTGTTCATATTTAGAAACAACCTTTGGGTAGACTGATCTTACGTTCATTTGGGCATGAGCCCCGAGAAGCGAAAAACTCCTTTGGGCTGCTGGTTGTTTATTTTGGGATTCTTCTATGAAAATCCCCGCTTCAACAACTCCATGTTTGAATCTTTAAGCCTTCAGAGTCAGCATGAAGATTGCTAAGAACCGATATCTTTTTAGGATGTATGTTTGGTGGAAGATGCCAAACAAGCTATGGAAATGCTTCTGAATCATAGACGCAACTCTTCATATGTGAGGATTATGTGTGCCGTGATTATTCTCTCCCTTTTCCCTACTGTTACTATTGCCACCCTTGAACTGAGCATTGTGTCTGGCTGGGTCGATTTTTTCCCAGTTTTCTTTGTTGAATCCATCAACCCTGATGCTATGTAATTGAAAGGTTTCAAGTAATTTCTTCCCCAAAAAATCAAAAAAGATTTGTGTCCGTTGAGTTGAGAACGGCAATAGGAATAATTGTGTGTAGGGTGATGTGTTACTTTAAGTACACTGTGCAACACACCAAATAAAAAATAAAAAATGGATGATATACAGGTTCCACCCCACCGAGGTTTGAACTCGGGTTACTGGATTCAGAGTCCAATGTCCTGACCACTAGACCATGGAACCTTACGTAGATTTTTTTTAACAATTATTATTCTAATAGAAACTTTCTATTTTTTTTTTGCAAAATAAAAAATAGATTAAGTCGTTTTATTTTAATATTATTTTCTTCAGTGAAATTCAATTCTTTAAAATAAAAATAAAAATAAAGATGCATATGTGAATGTTACATTTGACTCTGGATGTATCTGATAATTAAAAAAGGGAATAGATACTCTCTTTTTTCAATATCTCGCGAAAATAGCTTTCTTATTATTATTGTTTAAACAATTGAAATTGTGCCAAACTTTGGCCAAAGAAAAACAAAAGGAAACAGTGCCAAATTGTTTGGAAGGTGAAAGATGGGACAGATCGTTTTTTTTTTTCCCACACTCAAAGATAGTGCTTATTTCTAGTCGTTGACTCCCAACGATGCCAGATATTTTTTTCGAGCAAACATATGATGCCATATTCAATAGAAGATAGACATTAAATAAATATTAAAGTTAATAATCATAATAAAAAATAGTATTTAGAAGGCATAAAATAAAATTGTTTAAATAATTATAAATTTATAGATATAACCTGTCATTTTAAATTTTGATTACTTGGGATATATATATATATATATATATGGAGCCTATCATTTGAAAGATGATAAATCTTTAAATGACCCTTAAATTTTTCAAAGAATTAGTCTCAAAACTATTAGCTGTAAGAATACTTTGAAAAACAAAAATAAATAAATAACCATATTTTTTATTTTCTGTGCATCGAGGATGATTTTAGTGGCCGGAACATAGAAATAAGTAATATTTGTTAATATACCAAATGCGTCTTGTAACGACATTGCTCCGATGGACTATTAAACCAACATATATAGTAATAAAAACACATTAATACGCTGCTTATAAAAATATCTTATTAAAAAATAATTTTAAAAAAAAGTTGCTCCCTCCATTAAAAAATATAAGGCATTTTTTGAGGAGTTAAGTGTTTAAAAATATAAGGCATTTTTAATCTTTTGATGTGTAATCATTGCTTTTTTAAAAAAAGTGCCCCTATTGATAAATGACTTTATATTTATTGTAAGGTATTTAATAAGGGTAAATATGAAAAGATAGAATTAGTTTGAAAGTAAATAACTACTTTATTGGGGGTGAGATTAAGTTAAAAATACCTTATATTTTTTAAAGGAGAGAGTATGATACCCAAAATTATAATAAAAAATATTTTAATTTTATTTCAAAATATATTATAATAAATTTTCTTTTTATAATAATTTTTTAAAAAAATTGAGTGAGCATTGAGCATTTTAGACTTGCAACGGTCACTCGACACCCTTTACAATATACTTCTTTCATTTAAAAATATAAAAAATTTATGTTTAACCGAATCTTACATTTCAATAAAATAATGACCTACTTTTCAAACTAACCCTGTCTTTTTATATTTATCCCTATTAAATACCTTACAATAAATATAAAGTTATTCATTAATAGGGGTACTTTTGAAAAAAATTAATTATTATATTTTAAAAGATTAAAAATATCTTATATTTTTAAACATCTAACTTCTCAAAAAATATTTTATATTTTTAAACAAAAAAATATAAAAATAATGATTATAAAATCTTCCGGCTTATTGGAGGCTTTGAGCACATCCTCTGTTTTTATTCGTGAGTAAAATAAACATACTTTATTATCACACCCAAAAAATAATAATTCGGGCGAAACAAAGTCCGTTTTCTTTCCCTTCACATTCGTGTTAGCCTTCCCAAGTGTATTTTAAATGAGGGAGTGAACCTTAAATTTCAAATGATGATTTCATTCAAGTAAAGCCTCTTGGACCTTAACTAGTATTTTTATAAAATACAATTTATTTCTCAATTTAAAAATAAAAAATAAGTTATAAATTTAACAATATAAAATTATAAATTTGAGAGATAGAGTTGTGAATTTTTAGAAGTGTTCAAATAATGATGTGTTACTTTTTTAATTTAATCATTATGATTTTTATTCTATATTAAAATTAGGAAAGTAGCAAATTAAAAATGACAAAATTGCAAATTTGTCTCCCCAATTTGATATTTTGATATTTTTCAAATTTGTCTTCTAGATTTACAATTTGTTTTTGTTAAATTTACAGCTTGTTCTTAAAATTTTAACAAAGAACCTTAATCTTAATAATTGAATTTGAAAAGAATCATGTCACTACTTTAATGCTTTTAGAAATTTGTAATTTTGTCTATCAAATTTACAATTTCACTATCTTGAATTTGCAACTCACATTCTCCATTTTAAAATTAAGAATAAACTGCATTGTATGAAAATACTAGTTAAAGATCTAAGGAACTTATTTTACATTTTAAAATTTGTTGGAATTTTACCTAAATAAAATGAACCTTTGGGACTTAAGTGTCATTTTCCTATTTTAAAAATTTTAATTTACTTTGTTGCAATTCCCATGTTTTTTTTCTGCCTCCCAAATTTACAATTTGCATCTGTTAAACTTGCAACTTATTTTTTCAATCAACAAGGAACATAAATCTTAATAATTGAATTTTGAAAAGAATTATGTCATTACTCGAATACTTTTAGGAATTTGGAATCTTGTCTATCAAATTTACAATTCTACTATCTTGATTTTGCCACTTGCGTTTCTTATTTTAAAATTGGAAATAAATTATATTGTATGAAAATACTAGTTAAAGATTTAAGAGACTTAATTTACATTGTAAAATTTGTTCTTACTTAAATAAAATGAACCTTTGAGACTCAAGCGTCATTTCCTCATCTTAACTTCTAAATTTACTTTGTTGCAGTGCCCACAAATTTTTGAGGGGCTCGGATTCCAGGTTTACACTTGGGGAAAATTTCATATTAGAGCCCTGGACGTGCATAATTAAAAATTAAGACAACATAAATTTGAAAATACAATGCAAGCTACTGGGATTGGAATGAAAATAATTTGACAAGGTAAATGATGAAAATATTCATAGTAGAAATAAAGAGTGTGAATTAATGCTCAATATAACTTGTTAAATCCTATATACTATTACTTTCTAAATTTCTAAATGCGTGATGAATTTTACAAGCTAATAATTCAACATGTCACCTTAAATCCCTCGATACATTACTTGCAATGCCAATAGACAATGGATTTCTCAAGTTAATATTTTAAGAAGTTGTCATGGATTTAATACGAGTTAGATAATCAATAAGCAACATAATGAATTTATCAAATAACTTAGGGGAATTAATGATTAATATAACATTTTTAACAAGTGCAAATTAAGATAATGATTTAATAAGTTATAGATTTAATTCGAGCATTCACAAATAATGCAATAAATTTAGCAAATCATGTTGTGTATTTGACAAGTCATTTAGAGCAGTGATTCACTTTTTTTCCCCCTTCATTTCTATTAATCATATGCTTATAAAGTTATTTTCATTTCAATCCTAACAAGCAAGAACCAACAATGTATTTTTTATTTGGTTCTGATTTTCAATTAATCAAGTCACACCCATGTCTCAACGTGAAGTTCAAATTCTCCCTTATTCCTGTACGGAGCATTTCAATGAAGAATCTGGCTTTCAGCTTCTGACGGATTCAAACGTGTTGCTGAGTTGCAGAAACAAAAAACCTGGGGTCAATGGTTTTCGTTGACGGTTGTCACTTGTTATCTCGTGGGCAGGTCACCGGTTGGAACCCCAAAGTTGCTATTCTAAGACATCTCTCTCTGCTAAGGATTCAGTGAGGCGGCGTCAGCATGTCACATGTTCCATCAATCCCACAGATACCAACCATACATGATACAACCTTCCCTGCTGTTGGAAAAAGGAAAAAAAAAAAAAAAACTCCCACCAAACATTACTTCAAATTACAATAAAAGAATTGGTGCGTATTTTTCAAAAAATACAAAGATGCAAATAATCCAGGTAAAAAAAAAAGGAAAAAAAGGGATGAAAATAATGGGGATGGCTTAGATTTCATGTTGCAAATAGACATGAGTAGTGAAGTGTGACGCATAGTAATATAATATAATTTTTTTTATATCTGAAAGTAAAAGCACATAGATAATATAATATTCTTTCATCTTAAATTATAAGGTTTATTTTCAAAAAAATTTAATATTTTTTATAATATTAAAATTTCATTAAATAATTTTTTAATATTATTTTTTTCTTTCTATTTAATTTTTGTTCCTATTCTTTAAACATATGACTAAATTATGCAAAATTCTCCTAAAATTTTAAATCATGAATAAATAACCTCTTAACATTTAAAACTTCATAAAAAACCTATTTGAACTTTTAGATTTATGTAAATAATCTTTAATCATTAATTATATATCCTCTTAAATTTTATTTTTATGTGCATTTAAGCTCAAAAATTTTAATTGATATACAAATAATCTCCCTCAATTTTAAATTATTTATAAATAATTAATATTTAAATTAATTATCTAAAGTTATCCGTATAACTATAAGAGTTAGGTGGCCATTGTAAAGTTTTAAAAAATTAAGAAGGTTATGTAAATATGGTTTAAAATTCAAAAAAATAATGTATAGAAAAGCATTTATTAAATAAAAAATATTTTTAAAAATTTATATATTTTTAAAAATAAAATTATCAGACATATTTAATAAAATTTATTGTTACATGAGATTTTGTTTTAAATTATTTTATAATCTGGGGAGAGAGAAATATATTTTTATTTTAAAAAATCGTGATATTGGAAAATGAGTAACCTGAAGGATGGCAAACAACAACACGTGTAGTCCTGTACGGCCGTACCCGATGACATGAAGAAATTGACTTTTATAACCTAAGTATATGCTCCTCCCGATCAGTTTTTAGAAGTATAATTTAATTTACGTTATAAGTCATTATTTTATAGAATTATTTTATTTTAAATTAAGATTCAAAATTTTTTTTAAAAAATAATATTATATTATTTATTTGTTTTTTGCTTTTTATTTAAGAGTTATATTTAAAATTTTACTTACTTTTATTTCTTATACTTTTACTATATTTATATTAATGAAATTAATAAAAATAATTTATAAATAAAATTAAAGAGAATATATATATATATATATATAGTGACGGGTGGACTCTGACTTTTTATAAATTATTCGATATACATTAACAATAACAACGACCCTTGTTGCTGTACTCTTCTCATCTTATATATTAATCATTTTTTAAAATATAATTTAGTCTCTTGTATAAGTTACATAAATTATTTTTTTAAATTAAAAATTTTAAATTACCCTTAAAAATTAAGAGAGATAAAGATAAAAAATTAATGTCATATTTTCTGTTTGCTTTTGCATTTTACTTAAGGATCATATTTAAAATTTTACTTAATTATATTCCTTATACTTATTGCATTAATATTGATAAGATTGGTAAAAATAATTTATAAATAAGGTGGGAGGAAATACCTCTCATCATGTTATATTTTCAATCAAATTTTTAAAAATATTATTCCCTTCAGTCCCATTTATAAAGGTACTTTTTAAAAGATTTATTTAATTTCATTTATAAGTTATTGTTTAACTTTTTAGGTAATATTTGAAAGATATTTTAAAATTATCTTTCATGAGAAGGATAAAGTAACATGATACTTTCTTCGTTAAAAAATGTAAGACATTTTTAACCGAATCTCATCCTAAATAAAATAGTTACCTACTTTTAAACTAACTCTATTTTTTTATATTTATTTCTATTAAACAACCTATAATAAATATAAAGTTATTATCAATAGAGGTGCTTTTGAAAATGAAAACACCAAAGAAGCGAGCTCAACCAAAGGGTTCAAAAAATGAAAAGGGGACGATTGTATGTGTTAGTAATGAAGGTGCAAGTGACATTAAAACACCCAAGGCGCGTGGTAGACCAAAAGGGTCAAGAAATAAAAAGCTCAGTATTGCGTGTGCTAGCAATGCAAGTGCAGGTGACATTGAAAACCCAAAGAAGTGTACAGTGACGTATGGTCAACCATGGAACACAAGAAAGAAGAAGAAGAAATTGGGAGAGCAGATGAATGAAGAAATGTGTTGTGAAGTTATGTTTGTTCACAAGGTATGTGATAAAACTATTGGTCTTACTGGTTTGCAGAATAATTTGGCCAATACTGTAGGTGACCAAGATATTGGATCACTCATTAAAACTGCCGATAATAAAAAATGTGTAGAAGACAATCTGCAGCAAAAGATGACTGTTCAATCACAAAGGGCTACTCACGATAGTGATAGGAATAAGGATATGCCTTCAACTGGCTCTGGTGTTGGTGATGTTCAAAGTGAGTATAACCTCTTTAAAGAGCTTTTGACAGGAAAATTTACCGGAGGATCTAATGAGGAAATGGAGGGCATTTGGTTGGCTAGACCAGGGAATGCGATCGTTTTTGCTGAGGTTGGGGCAGACAAGGAGTTTACTATCTGTAGATCTTGTGAATATGGATCTGGAAACAATATTGATGAGGCAGACAATAGGTGGGGCAGGCCAAAGGGCTTCAGTGACATAGAAAAGGAGACTGTCCTGTCTTTTGATTCAGAGATTGAGAGGCATAATAATGTAGCTGAGATAGATGGAAGAATGCCTGCTGAAGCTTCTTGCAGAAATGATATTGGTGGACGGAAAGCTAAGCATGGAAAACAGAGTTTAAAAAATAGGAGACTATCTATTGAGCACTGCCGATTGAAGGGTTCAAGAGGAAAGACATCAACTATTGCTGCTGTAAAAGATGAGAGTGAATCAGTTGAAGTGAAGTATAAATCCAGGAGGAATGAGAGATCCAATAATAAGAGAGTCCAATCCCTACAAAATAAGATGATTCTTTCTTGTAGAGTCGTTAAAAACTCAAGAGAGCCTGGAAATAAAAAGATGAAAACAAAATGGTTAAAAGGTGGATCTGGAAGCATTCAGACAAGGTCTAATGTAAGGCTGAGAAAATTGTCAAACCATAAAGGCAAATCTTCTGGCAGCAGTGTTCAGAGAAGGTGTAGTGGAAGACTGAGACAGTTGTCAAACTGTGGATTAGACCCTTCAGGTTTGATTGTGAGTATCCCTTTAAGCCATACTTCTGAACCATTTCTTGAGTTTTCATTTATACCCATATGATTGCAGATATGTGGAGTTGACTGAATGCATAAGTGATGTAAAACACACACACTCACATTGATTTGAATAGAATAGGATGAGGAAAAGAACAGAATCAGAGAGTGAGAGGTGAAGGGGGAGCGAAAACAGAGGGGAGAGATGACAGAAAACAGAGAAAGCAGGGGAAGTGGAGAGGAACGCAGAACTGATAGATAGGGGAATAGAATAGCAATTCATTCCAACTCTAAGAACTTCCTTACATGTGCTGCATGGTGGCTTTTTATAGAAGCCACAATTAAGGTTTCCTTCTTATGAAGGAAACATAAAATGAAATAAAATATAAGCTTGAGGTTTCCTTCCCTATAAGGAAAGCTCAACTTACAGATTTAAATAAAGAATAAAACAAACAAAAGCAGGTCAGGTTTCCTTCCTTAGAAGGAAACTTACAAAATACTAAATAATGCAAAAACAATTATTTCTTTCTAAAATAACATTTGCCATATTTTCTATTAATTCTCCCCTGCTGCAAAGAACTCTCCTCCGGAGAGGTAAAGAGTTGATAGGCTTCTAGCAAGGCAGGATTAAGTTGTTGAAATTCATCTTCTGAAATCCAGGTGGCATCTTCATCAGATCGACCTCTCCAACGAACCAAATAACGATGGATGGGCCCCTCAGAGGTAAAGACCATTTGATCATCCATAATGGTCTCGATATCATCAACTGATGGTGAGATAGCAGGCAATGATGGAATTGGCACTTGTGAAGGCTGAGTACCTGCAAAATCATCAGAAAGCAAAGGGGAAGGCTCAAAAGTTCCCCGGTAAGGCATAAGACCCTCTACATTAAAAACTGGACTAATGGCCATATCAGAAGGTAGTTCTAAAAGATAAGCATTAGGTCCTAATTTCTTTGTTATGCGAAAAGGTCCCGCAGCTCGAGCATGCAACTTTTTAAAAGCTTGTTTAGGGTAACGTTCTGGACGAATGCGAGCCATAACATAATCACCTATTTCGAAGCTTTGAAATCGACAATAAGTATTAGCAGATAATTTATATTGATCATTACTTGTCGCTAATTTGCGCCTAATTTCAGCATGTAAGTCATGAAGGCGATTGGCAAAGGATTCCGCAGATTCAGAAATGCGAAATGTCAACGGGATTGGCAGGAGGTCAATAGGCTGTTTAGGATTAAAACCTTGAACAATCTGGAAGGGACTCATGCCTGTAGACCTATTCACTGAATTATTATATGCAAACTCTGCAGTGGGTAGAACCAAATCCCAGTTCTTCGGCCTGTCTCCAACTAAACTCCGAAGCAAATTACCCAAACTGTGATTAGTGACTTCAGTTTGCCCATCAGTTTGAGGGTGAAAAGCAGAAGAGAACTTCAATTGGGTACCAAAAAGTTTCTATAGGGTCTTCCAAAAGTAGCTAACAAACTTGACATCTCTATCAGATACGATAGTGGTAGGTAACCCATGTAGACGTACAATCTCCTTGAAGAACAACTTTGCCAGATGTAAAGCATTGTAGTTTTGCTACAAGGAATAAAGTGAGCCATCTTTGAAAACCTGTCCACAACAACTAATACAAGTCATGACCTCTAGCTGTGCGAGGCAATCCTAAGACAAAATTCATACTCAAGTCTTTCCAAGGTGCCTCGGGAATCGGCAAAGGAGTATACCAACCGGTATTCTGTCGCCTGGCTTTAGAAGTTTGACAATTTCGACATTGAGACACTATGCGAGCCACATCACGCTTGAGTGAAGGCCAGTAGAACCTATCTTCGACTAATGCCATTGTCTTATTAACCCCGAAATGACCAGCTAAACCTCCAGCGTGTAACTCCCATATAAGAAAATCTCGCATAGAAGTACGTGGGATGTACAGTTTGCTCCCACGAAAGAGATGACCGTCTTTAATGATGAAATCAACATGCTCATGACAATTATCACTGCAAACTTCTTGGTATATTATCCCAAAATCTGGACATGAAGCATAGTCGTCCTTCAAGTTTTCAAAACCAACAACACTAACGCTCATAGTGTGCAACAAGTTGATCCGACGGCTCAGGGCATCAGCCACTATGTTTTCTGTTCCTGAACATGCTTGACCACAAAAGTGAATCCCTGAATATACTCAACCCATTTAGCATGTTTAGCATTTAAGTGTCGCTGAGAGTTGATAAACCTAAGCGCTTGATGATCAGAGTATAGAACAAATTGTTGCGGAAGAAGGTAGTACTTCCAATGCTCAAGGGATCTCACAATCGCATAAAATTCCTTATCATAAGTGGAGTACTTTTGTTTGGCATCATTGAGCTTTTCGCTGAAGAAAGCCACAGGGTGACCTTCTTGGCTTAGTACACCTCCGATTCCTGTCCCAGACGCATCACAAGCAACTTCAAAACACTTTGTAAAATCAGGTAAAGACAAGACTGGAGCTTGAGAAAGCTTCTTCTTAGTATCTTGGAAAGCCATGGAAGCTGTAGATGTCCACTGAAACTTGTCTTTTTTAAGCAATCAGTGATAGGAGCCATAATGGTACTGAAGTTTCTAATGAAGCGTCTATAGAAAGAAGCAAGGCCATGAAAACTCCGTACTTCATGAAGAGATTGTGGCTCAGGCCATTCTTGAGTGGCTTGGACTTTCTCAGGGTCAGCTGCTAAACCCCTTTCAGAAACTATGAAACCTAAGAAGATGACTTGATTTTGAAGAAATAAACACTTAGGCAAGTTAACATAAAACTATTCTTGACGCAAGGTGATAAAAATTAACTCGAGATGTCCCAAGTGTTCTTCTCTTGACTTGCTAAAAACTAGTATGTCATCAAAGTATACCACCAAAAACTTTCCCAAGAGCAAAGGAGGTGAGTCATTACTTTCATGAATGTATTTGGTGCATTTGATAACCCAAAAGGCATGACAAGCCATTCAAACAACCCATCTTGCGTTTTAAAAGCAGTCTTCCACTCATCTCCAGGCCTAATCCTGATCTGATGATAACCACTTCTGAGGTCAATCTTTGAAAACTAACTAGATCCAGACACTAAATCAAGCATGTCATCAAGTCTAGGAATGGGAAATCTATACTTGATGGTGATCTTGTTGATGGCTCTGCTGTTTACACACATTCTCCAAGAGCCGTCTTTCTTGGGGTTAAAAGAGCAGGTACTGCACAAGGACTCATACTATGCTAGATATAACCCTTTTCCAACAATCCACTGACTTGTCGGTTAAGCTCTGCTCTATCTTTAGGGTTCATCCTGTAGTGCGGTAGATTGGGGAGTTGTGAACCTGGAATGAAATCAATTGCATGTTGGATCTCTCTCATTGGTGGTAATTCAGATGGAAGCTCATCGGGAGTGATATCCCGAAATTGTTGTAAGAGCTGTTGCACTTCCTCTGGCATTTTTAAAGTAGTAGCAATTCGTTTGTGAGATCTTGGATACCAAAATAACACGATCGTACTCTCTCTGCTTTCTTGTACAAATTGTTTTTCTGTCAGAAGATGCAAATTGTGGGTTTTGGGTTTTGTGCCCTTTGATTTACTTGAGCCTTTGCCTTCGTTGTCAGGCTTAGCAGGACGTAACAGGATCATCATTGCCCTCCATGCTTAAATGTATAGGTATTCTCACGACCATGATTGATAACATTGTGGTCATAAAGCCACGGTCGACCAAGTAAAATGTGAGCAACATCCATTGGAAGAACATCACAAATAATCTCTTCTTTATAGTCACCTAAGTGAAGAGGAACGCGACATTATTGGGTGACTGATAAAGAAGTTTTGTCGACCCATGCAACACGAAAAGGTTCTGGGTGAGGTTCTGTCTTGAGATTGAGTCGGGCTACTCCTTGACTAGAAATAACGTTTCTAAAACTCCCTCCATCAATCACCAATTTGCAAGCTTTATCTCCACACTTCACAAAAGTATGGAAAATACTTGTTCGCTTCCATGAATCACTAGACAGAGGGACAGATAGAATGCATCGCATAACTCCAACTCGATGTGTCTCACACCCATGTTCATCAATGATGATGTCCTCATCGACATCTGAAGGACACTCAACTGGATCTACGACAACGTCAGCATTTGCATTGTCTTCCTCACCTTCATATTGTGACTCAATAACTAGAGTACGCTGTGGGCATTTTGACGCAATATGACCCTTTGAGTGACAGCAAAAACACTCGACAAAGGAATTGTTATGGCGGGAAGCAGGAACTATAGCCTCACTAGGCTGCTTAGAAGTATTACCCCTTAACCCAATTGCTTGAGTAGGTGTAAAAGACGAGCTAGGCCTAGATGTAAGTGCTCCTGTTGGTCGTTCAGACAGACTGGAAGTTCGTGCTTGTCTAAATAGATTGCTCTGCATGTCGATACGCTTTACAGACGAGTACTGTGACAGAGACTCTACTTCTAAAGTCTTATGATAAGCTTCTTTAAGAGACTCTGGAAAGTTTAACTTGAGCTCCTTCTGTAGATATGGCTTGAGACCATTAACAAACTTGGTAATGGTGCGCCATTCCTCTTCATCCACGTCACATCTAATCATAAGGTCATCGAATTGAGAAATATACTCGGAAGCTGTGGAGATTTGCCTCAAATTAAGGTATTTGTCATATAGTTGACTCTTATAATAAGTCGGCACATATTTTTCTTTCAGCTTGGCCTTCATTTCATCCCACGTCTCAATCGATGGATAACCTTGTCGCTCAATGTTTCTTTGGACATTTTGCCAGTATTTCCTAGCAGATCCCACGAGCTTCATCTTCGTAAACCGAACTCGCTGAATATCTCTCATGTCATACCATTCAAAATAATCTTCCATGCTGGCTAACCAATCCAGGAATGCACTAGGATTCAATCGTCCATCAAACTCAGGAGCTTCAACTTCAACCTTTTTGGTGATGTCATCAATATGTGTCCTTCTAAAGCCTTCTCTACCATTCCTATGGACTAACTGGTATGGTCTATGATGTTGTTCTTCAGGCCCTTGCCCATCCCAAGTATCATCTATGTCATTAGAATGATGATCGGTAAACTCATGAGGAAATGTTCTACTGTGTCTTTCACCCATAGCTCTAGAGGAATGACTAATCCTTAAGGGAATTACCTCTAAGTTGATTGCGGATGGGAATTGTTCATTTTTAAGACTTGACTCTCCTCTAATGATAGGTCTTTCGAGTATCCCTTCAGTTGTTTTTCCCTGTATCTTGTCTGTATGTCAACTAAATTGCACCCATTATCTCTTCAAATTTATTGTCCATGAATTCTTTAATTTCATCTAGCCGCTGGTCCACATATGCCCTTTGAGTCCTTTCAGATTCCTCAAGATGATTTTGGGTGATTTGGGAGTTATTAGCCATGACAGATTTTAGGGCAGTAATTTCTTGATTTAATAAAGCTTGCTTATCGTATAAATCACGAATGGTCATACAATGACAAAGATGGTATGGTAAAGTGCAAGTTTGGTGTGAATTTAATAACTAAGGAAGAAAGGCCCCCAAGTTGCCCTTACCTAAATAGGTGAAGTCCCTTCTTTAACAACACTAACCCTCTGAGAATTCAAAAATTCCACAGGGATCGTATGCTAAATAGGTAACAACTCGAGTGAAGTCTTCACAGAAATCTCCGAAGGTTCAAAAACCTTTCAGGAAAATCGTTAGAAACTTCAATTAACCTAGGGTAATTTTTGGACACGGGTATAGGGCAGGATTGTGTGTGAGGTAGGTGTCTTAGGTTATACGAACACTGCTATCAAAAGTCACAAATTAACAACATAATGATCAATGTAAATTTTCCTTTTTTTTATATATTTATATATTTTCAAAATATTAAAACATGATTAAAAAAAATAAAAATAAAATAAAAATTGCAATGCTCAAAGAAACCAAAGTACCACACAATAAAGATTTTAGAACTAGCTATGAATGAAACACCTCCCTTTAAGAACCAAGTAAGCCAATTAAATAAAAGGGTCGTCGGCCTTACCAGCGTTGCTTTAGGAGCTTAAACAAAAAGTTTTACCCCCAAATAAGTTTTAGATGATGACTTGCACCCCTCAGCTCCTTCAAAGTTGAACAAATTCCGTGAAAACACACAGAAAACACTGAAATCACGTTCTGGCGGCGACTGTACGGACGGCGCGTGAACACCACGCGCAGAAGCTCCACAGGCGCGTGTGGCTTCGGGCAGAGGTGGTTTTTTCGGTTCTGACCAGATTTTCCCTTCTGAGCACGATGGTAGCATTCATTTTTGGATCTGACGTCGGGAAATGTGATTTTGGGTGCTGGCAGCGTGAACAGAGTATGCTGAGCTCCCCTGAGAGTTTTCCTTCGATCTCCAGCCGCGGAAACAGCCTAGGAACGTTCAGAACCAGGCTCTGGTACCAAGTTGATGTAAAACACACACACTCACATTGATTTGAACAGAATAGGATGGGGAAAAGAAACAGAATCAGAGAGTGAGAGGTGAAGGGGGAGTGAAAACAGAGGGGAGAGATGACAGAAAACAGAGAAAGCAGGGAAAGTGGAGAGGAACGCAGAACTAATAGATAGGGGAATAGAATAGCAATTCATTCCAACTCTAAGAACTTCCTTACATGTGCTGCATGGTGGCTTTTTATAGAAGCCACAATTAAGGTTTCCTTCTTATGAAGGAAACATAAAATGAATAAAATATAAGCTTGAGGTTTCCTTCCCTATAAGGAAAGCTCAACTTGCAGATTTAAATAAAGAGTAAAACAAAAAAAGCAGGTCAGGTTTCCTTTCTTAGAAGGAAACCTACAAAATACTAAATAATGCAAAAATAATTATTTCTTTCTAAAATAACATTTGCCATATTTTCTATCAATAAGTTAACAGAAATATTGATGCCATGGGGATGCAAATTGTGTTTACTGATCCCATAAAAACTGAGATTTTAATTTGCCCAATTAAAAAAACACTGCTATTCCTGATGCAAAACTTTCTGTAATTGCTATAGGCCTTTCTGCATTTTGAGCATCAACTTGTATTTGAAATTTTAGAGATCTATCTTCTGCCTTGGAATGATTCAAGGAAACTAATGAAACTGAAACTAGATATGAACTAAAAGATGGATGGTCATCTTTTTCTTTTCTTATTTGGCTGAAAATAAGTGGGAGATAATGGCATATGTTTCATCTGTCTAGCATTGTTACTTAATGCCAGAAGGAGTGCAATGTTGCTACAATTCAGAGTAAAGTTTATGTAAAAGTATTGATAACTAGTGCTGTATGCTAAATAATACCATAAGATTTCAGAATTTATTGGCATTTATTTAAAAGTTTACGACAACATTCTTTCATGCACCTCCACTTTATATGCGTGTGTTATATGAAGGTCCACCCTGGGGCATAAAAGAATAAATCAATATTAGAGCTTAATGAAATTATGGTTGATGACTTGATTCCTTAGTTACTTGGTCCGTTCTATGTAATGCTCTTTCATACTCAATCCATGTAGAATTCAGAGTAATGGAATGTCTTCAAAAAGTACGTTGTGGTTATTTTGTTGTGCTATTTGACATGAAAGTTGATGCTCCTCATCAAGATTGAGGGTTACCTAGTTATGCATTACATGTTGGTTGGGAGGAGTATCATTCATACGTAATGAGACTTAATGTAAAAGGCAAATGATTAAACTAATATTTAATTGTTCATATCTGGCCCATTTCTGAATCTTTTTTGTGCTGAAAACGTATAGCTAAGTTACATCCACATGGATGTAATCTGGTATGTGCACTATCGACTGGCACCTTCATATCTTACCATTGAAATTTCAAATTACACTGTTGTACTTATTTTTTCACTGCCTTTAAGGAAGCAGTTCTTTCCGTCTAAATGAAAAGGCAGGTAAATTGTTCTGGGAACCTGTAAAATTTCAATGATGATTAGTGTAACTTTCTACGGTGACACAAACCCTCTTTGTTTGTATCATTACCACTAAGTCTACACAGAGACAGTCATGACGGTGTGCTATTAGCCTATTACAGATGTGTTGTTTTTATAACCGTGCTTGTTTGTGATTTGAGAATTCACTGCATCTTTCAAAATCTCAATTAGAATTCCCCCTTTTCTGGGCACTCTTTTCTACTTTTAGGTTGATTCTAGAAGGAAAAAGGGCCTGCAGATTTAATGTGCCACCAGTGCTGGAGGAGTGATAGGAGTGGGGTTATCAATTGTGCCAATTGCAAACGGAAGCGATATTGCTATGAGTTCTTAACAAAATGGTAATAACAGTCAAGTTGTTCATTTCGAGAGTTCTAGTATATGCTGTTTTGGTATTTTGAGAATATTCAATTAATTAGTTTGCAAAAGAAAAGGTACTTTTCTTTTGTGAAAGAAAATTACTTTCTTTTCATGTTGTAAGAATATAGCTTTACAAACATAAGTTAACATTTCAGAATTTTAGCAAGAATTGCTGCCTTTGCTGATGATATTTGTTTTGAAAAAAAAATTTAGGTACCCAGACAAAACAAGAGAGGAGATAGAGTTTTCCTGTCCCTTTTGCCTTGGTAATTGCAATTGTCGGTTGTGTTTGAAGGAGGCTGTATCTGCAGAGGCATGTACCTTTTTTTTTCCCCTCTTTGTATTTCCTTCTACTTTCTATTACCAATGGAGTGCTGCTTTAGCACAAAGACTCTAGCAAAAAGTGACTACCAGGAAGTTCATTCGATGATCCAATAACAGCCTCTACTACTCCTCCTGTTTACTTGTATACCAACCTAGATCAAGGGAGAGTTCAGTTCCACTTCAACTACAAGCTTAATGAATTTTAACTACTTAATAAGCGAGTCTTATTCGCTAACTAATAACCATGTAATCCTCTTATTATTTCTGACATGTTTGTGCTTAATTTTAATGTAAAATGAATGGTTTGTCTGCAGGCTGCAAGTGTTGAATCAGATGCTTATATCAATTTGCTGAAGTTGCTTTACTTGCTTAAGAAAATTCTGCCTTTACTCCAGCATATCCAGCAAGAGCAGAGATTGGAAATGGAAATAGAATCTAGCTTACATGGTAGTCTGATTTTATTTAGTTATGGTTATGTAACTTGCATCTAGTTACTGGACTGAATGTTTAAAGTGGTCAATTTCCCAATTTTCTCAGGTTTACTGCTGACAGAAGAAAATATCATGCAGTCGCAGATTGATGATGATGATCGAGTGTATTGGTATTGCTTTTCATACTTTTGTTTTTGAAATTAGCATTTTAGAGGTTATGTTATTTTTGATATTTTCATTCACCTGGTAGTTTTACTATGCTTGCTTGCATTGACTAGCTGAATTCAAACGAGCCTATGTTTCCTAGAATATTCTTGAAAAATATGTTTGAAGCTACATGCACACAAAGGCAATGACCTGTGCCTTCTATTGGTTACATGATACACACATTGGATGCATTAGTATTGACGCTTTATTTTCTGTTTTCTTTTGACTTCTGTGTTTTTTCTGTCTCTAGGGGATGTGATATCTCCTCACAATGTCTATATTAGGTTAATTTATATGGTATATAGTTTTGGTCTATTCTTTATCCTTTTCCCCCAAAAATGTTGGCTAAAGTCACTATAAGTTCGTGATATAAAATTCCAAAACATACTTGGATCAAAAGGCAATTTTTATGCTCTAGTGTTTCTATCAACCGTTCTGTTTGTTTTAGAATAGGAAGTTTTGCAATTTGTTTTTTTGATTCAAGTTCTATCATAATCTCAGTTTATTAATCAAAGGTATAAGCTCATTTGGCTATGATTTATTTTCCATAATTCAGTCATAGGCAACTTATTTCAGTTTTCCATAATCTACTTATTTCAGTGACAACTGTAATACATCCATCGTCAACTTGCACAGAAGTTGTCCTGATCCTAATTGTAGTTACGATCTCTGTCTCACTTGTTGCATGGAACTAAGAAGTGGACATAACTGTGAAGATGTTTCCACTAATGATGATGAAGGACGGGCTGATACCTCATCTGAATTTTCGTGGAAAGCAGATGCCAGTGGTAGGATTCCTTGCCCTCCAAAATCAAGGGGAGGCTGTGGGACTACAATTCTCTCATTGAGACGCCTTTTTAAAGCTAATTGGGCGAATGAATTGATTGGGAATGCAGAGGAACTTACCATCAAATATGAGCCCCCTAATGTTGATTCTACTAAAGGTTGTTCATTGTGCCATAATTTTAGGATGGATACAGTACAGGGTTTTGTAAGGCAGGCAGCTTCCAGAGGAAACTGTCATGATAATTTGTTGTTCTGCCCAAATGCTATGCACATGGGAGATACAGAATTCAAGCATTTCCAGATGCATTGGACAAGCGGCGAGCCTGTTATAGTTAGGAATGCATTTGAAAAGGCTAGGGGCCTTAGCTGGGATCCAATGGTGATGTGGAGGGCTTTTAGGGGGGCTAAGAGGATACTAAAAGAGGAGGCAACTGTGGTTAAAGCCATTGACTGCTTAGATTGGTGCGAGGTACATGCTTTCTTGAATATCCCAGATTATACTTATCTATCAGTCTTTAGCCTTCTTCACTTTTGAGACTTTTTCCCCTTTAAATATTTGGCTGAGAATATGGTTCTTTTTGTATCGTTCTAATGAAAAATCTTAGCTAAAAACATTAAAAAAAAAACCCCACTAGCTGCATATTTTTTCATTTTTGCACTGAATTATATATGCTTATTGACTACCTTGACCAAGGAAATCTTGGAATCTGATCACGTTATAACAAGATTGTATGCCATTTGAAAATCATAGTTTCTTTTTTATAGCAAAGAATTCTTTTATATGGTTACCTTGCATGCAACGCAACCAAAAAGTTAATGCTCAAGTTTAGGCATATGCAAAATTTGGCTGTTAATCTATTCTAATGATGCACAGCTATTTGAGGAATTGCTTATGAAACACGAGATGAATCCTGTATTTTGATTTGTTATGTTTCAGCTCTACCTCAAGTCTTCAATTTTCATATGGTGAAGTATATGTTAATGGAAATTTCTATCAATGAATGTTGAATAGCTTAATTTTTTTCAAGTGAATAACATATAGGGAAAATTAATGCTTCTATTTTGTAGGTGTTGGCAGCTTTGGTTTCTTTTTCCTTTTTTTTTTTTTGCGGGAAATTGGCTGATTGTTTCTTTTTGGAAGTTTGTCTTGTAACCCAATACCTCAGAATATTGTTTCTCTTCATGGTACTGCAGGTTGAAATTAATATCCTCCAGTTCTTCAAGGGCTACCTTGAAGGTCGTAGGTATAGAAATGGGTGGCCTGAGATGTTGAAGCTAAAGGATTGGCCTCCATCAAATGCTTTCGAAGAGTGTTTGCCTAGGCATGGTGCCGAGTTTATAGCTGTGCTACCATTTAGTGACTATACTCATCCCAAATCTGGGATTCTAAATCTCACTACAAAGCTACCTGTTATTTTAAAGCCAGATTTGGGCCCCAAAACATACATTGCTTATGGATCTTTAGAAGAGCTTGGTAGAGGTGATTCTGTAACAAAACTGCATTGTGACATCTCAGATGCGGTAAATTTTAAAATCAGATATGCATTTGTTTTCAGAACTTGTTGCTCACAAGTCAAAATCAGTCCTTTTTCCTCTTTGACAATTTATACCTGAAGGAAATCAATATATAATTTAAATATATAGGAAGTCACACTGTTCATAAACCATGGACATTGCAACATATCTGAGACTCCATGCCATGCATGGGGTCCATAGTCTAGTTTTTGGGGCAAAAAAAGAACTTTGGTGGAGATGTACTTTTTTTTACCCCTTGAAGAACAGATTTATACCATGAGGATGTGCATATATTGGCTTAAGATATATATACCTGCTTTACTTGTCATATAAGATCTTGATGGTCCTGTTTGGTTCCTGTTCTATATGCAGTCATTTACCATAGCTGTTTGAGAGAGAGAGAGAGAGAGAGAGAGAGGATGTCCTAGATCTCAAGGGTCAAGAGTTTGAATGTCTTGAGGAACAATGATACACAACTGTCCCACATTGCATGCCACTTTTCATTTCTCCATCTCTTATTCTCTCTATGTTTTAGTGTGACCAGTGCAGTACTTAGTTATAGGATTGCTCTTTTTAGCTGATTGCTGTTAGTTGATCAGGTCAATATATTGACACATACAGCTGAAGTAAAGAGACCATCATGGCAAAGAAAAGCCATAAACAAATTACGGGAAAATCATGAAGCTGAAGATATGCGCCCGATCTATGGCATGAAGAATGAAGCATTGAGTACTTATAGAAAAAAAGAAAAATGGCACTGCCAAGATATAAGCATGAGTTCTAAAAGCCCTAGAAAAGAAGACATTATTATGGGAGAGTCTACTATAATTAAAAGTCAGGCATCGGAGGAAGAGAATATGAATGAACAGCAGAATAGATCCAGAGATCTTGGAGCCTCAGGAGCATATATATAAGCTTGTGCTCTAAAATGCGTGGTTTTCCCAAAATTGATGTAAGTTATTGCTTGGGGGTAGTCAATCTACAGTTTGTATACAGGGTTCGACATCCTATTTTAATAGTCATAATTTTCTCCTCATTTCAGAAGAAATGCTGTGAATGGATCCATGGTGAAGTTAAGAACGTAGTCCAAAAAAGCTCATTATCACATGATGGATATTGCGAAGGAAATGCATCGCCTGAACATAGGCTGTCTAGAACATCCGCCGAAGACAGTTATGAAAAAGAAAAAATTGATGGTACGCTTGAAACAATTAGCATTGTGAATGTAACCTTATACATGCACCTTCTACATTGATTTGAAATTTGTGCACTCTACCAGCCTGGCTAAATCAGGACAATTCAACAAATTTTACAGAACAATCCAAATCAAAAGGCAGTTGCAGGTGTGCTGAGGAGTTACCTAACGGAATCATTCCCAACTTTGAGCATGATTATTACAGTTCCTGTGCTGGTAAGGATGTCTTTTATTTTTTATTTTTAACTAGGGAATGAAATTCTTCCATTCAATATCATTCTGTGTTGTGAAATGTGAGTGACATTGACACTGATAGCTCTTTGAAAGAGGGGACTAATACGGGTTGTGACTCCATGCTTCGCAAGTCTTATGAACAAGGCGCTTTAAAGGATTTTGAAAGACATTTGAATAGTCAAGAATGTAATCAGCCTCATGTTGGAACAGAAGAAGAAAAACGATACGGCTGGTTCAATTCCTCTGGGGCGTGTTCAGAAATCAATAATGACAAAATAGAGTCACTTATAAATGATATGAGAACAGCAAAAGCTTTCCTTGAAAATGATCTGTCTGAGACTCAATATGGGAGTGCTGTATGGGACATATTTCGTAGGCAAGACGTGCCAAAGCTGACGGAGTACCTGAAGAAGCACTACAGAGAATTCCGCCACATAAATAATCTTCCAGTCAATTCTGTGCGCATGTCTACTTAAATGTTCTTAGTTTCATCAATTGATGCCCTTTTCTGAGTTAATTTAATCAGCTCTTGTTGCTTTTGTTTCAGATAATACATCCAATTCATGACCAGACTCTTTATCTAAACGAAAAACACAAAAAGCAGCTAAAGGAAGAATTTGGTATGATATTATGTCTCAACGAGTCATATCTTTTGTGTGAATTTATGAAACTAGGGATTTCTCGGCAGGTATTGAACCGTGGACATTTGAGCAACACGTTGGGGAGGCTGTTTTTATTCCTGCAGGGTGCCCGCACCAAGTGAGGAATAGACAAGTAATAATATAAACTTATTTATGTCAAACTGTCATATGTCTGTTTACGGTGCAAGGTTAGGAACGAGAGCAGGGGTAGGAGAAGCAAAAAATGACGAAATGGTCAAACATTACTGATCACATTGTACATAACAATCCTATATGTAGGCGTAGCTAAACCTTGATTAGTCCTAAGCAATAAAATATGAAATACCTTCTCCCTCGTAATTGGAAATCAGATAGAAAATTTTAATTATTAGAAAACCCTTACAAACCTCAGTCGCTAACTAATCAATAAAACGTTAAATCAAGGTCGTGTGGCATTTTTATTTGTTGAAAGTTGCTCTGGTGCGGTCATAATGATATTAGTATCCTGCGATGGTTATATAATTTGTTAAACCCTTTTATTTTCAAAAGATTTGAATTCTGAAATTTTGATTATCTTATGAAAGTTGTTAAATTTGGAAATATTTCTTATTCAAGTTTGGAACACTTGTGACTGTGAGTGTTTTCCCCCAGTCTTGCATAAAAGTGGCTCTCGACTTTGTTTCACCTGAAAATGTTCAAGAGTGCGTTCGATTGACAAAGGAGTTTCGGGTGCTTCCAAAGAACCATAGATCTAAGGAAGATAAACTGGAGGAACGTGTTTGTGTTATCTTAGACCTATGAAAGCTTTATTGCATATGCAATGATGTCATAGATTTCATTCTTCCTAATTAGCTTCAGGAGTGCTAGAGTATTTATCAAAATGATTAGTAATTTGTTCAATACACGATTTTTTAAATGTTTGACTTCTTTTAGGCTTTATACTATGAGCTTTACTATGACAAATTCAATACCAACATGCTTTACACCATATGGTATCATGTTTATAGATAAAGAAGATGGCACTATACGCTGCTGACGCGGCTATAACTGAAGCCATGAAATTAATGCAGAGGATATGAGTAAGTTCGCTCTTGACCTCTCTCTTCGACTGTCTCGCATTATTTTCAAAATTTTGGTTCGACTGCAAGCCATATAAATGAAAGGTTCTGTGATTTACTTCGTTGAATCTTTCCATAATTTGGATGAACTTTTGGTTCCTGACCATTTTGAAGTGGCTTGTGCTGATTTACTTGGGTTGAACTTGCAGTTTGTGTAAGTGGGAGGCCATTTTTTGAAGAATTTGCTATGGTCACAGTACTTACCTCTGCTATGTTTTGTATGACTGGCGGTTTTATATCTCCATCAATACATGGAATTTGGATCTGCTGGAAAGTTCTGTAGCACCTAATCTGGAGTGTAAATATGTAATGCATGGGATTGCGTTTTGCGCTGCCGGGATAGGATGCACTGCCAACCTGAACTGATTTTGAGTTTGATCCCACCTTTGTGAAAAAGCACGGGCGGATCTAGAGTGTTATTTTCAAGAGGGGGGGGGGGTTCAAATTTTATAAAATATGGAGAACAAAAAGTAGTTTTACCATTTTTTTGAGAAAAATTTTAAACCAAATATAAAGGAATTAAAAAAGTTGGGGGGGGGGGGGGGAGCACCCCTACATGCCCCCTTAAATCCTTTTTTGGTGAAAAGAGAGTGATGGGTGGCAGAGAAAGAAAAAGAGCAAGGGTAAAAATGAAACATATATCAAGTCAAATATAACATTTAAAGAAATAAATTCTTAAATGCTAAGTTAAACTGTAAATATTATCCTTGTGATTTCATGTCATTACATTAAATTAGTTACTTATTGATTATTGATAATTATTACTTAATTTAATGTAATCGAAAGGTAATTTGAAATGCTAAATTTTGGAAATTATATATCATTTAGAAAGCAAAATGGTTCGAATCTCTGTGTGTGTGTGTGTGTATACATATATGAAAAAAATTTGATAAAATTTATACCATACGAACAATCGCTAGAAGTAAATATACGTTACCTAAAATTAAAAGTAAACTGATGGACACTATATCAGTTTGATTTTAAATGCCCACTTAACAAATGATCAGCAGATAAAAAAAAAACAGAGAATTACATTAAATTCCCTTACAAGATTACCCAGTCCAATCATTTTATTAATAAATTTTGTAATAATTAATTTTTTTATATGAAATTTGAATGTAATTCTTCCAATAAAAAATCCTCTTTGAAAAGTTAAGATGAGAATCACAGAAAAATGTCAGGCCCGAACCAAAGCTAAAAATAACTTTATTTGAAGTGATTTAAATTATATTACCCTGATTAAAATATTCTCAAACAAGGGTTTTATTAAAAAAATTGAGATAATAATTGCTGTTAAATTCTAGCAGGAATTAATGAGGTATTTATATTCATGACCCTAAATCGTTCATAACCAGGGACAATGAGAAATTAGTTGACTTTGGATGGAAATTGGAAAACGCATGGTTGAAAATCCAGTATTGTGAAGCCATGTGAAGCCATGTGAAGCCATGTAAAGAACTCTCTTCATTTAAAAATATAAAATATTTTTTGAGAGGTTAGATATTTAAAAATATAAGATATTTTTAATCTTTTGAGATGTAATTATTATCATTTTTTTAAAGTATTCCTATTAATAAATATCTTTATATTTATTGTAAGGTGTTTAATAAAAATAAATATAAAAATATAGAGTTAGTTTGAAAGTATATAATTTTTTTATTGAAAAATGAGATTTAATTAAAAATATTTTTTATTTTTTTAATGAAAGGAGTAGGTATTGGTGTAGCCAACCAATTCAATTATGCTCATCAAACAGAGTTGTCTCTTGAAGTCTTCCTCAAATCAAACGAATCTTATGATACCCTTTCTTGAGTATCTTGCCATCAAGTCTTCCAACTCCTATATTGCGATAGTGACTGTAGACAACTTGTCTTGATTTTGTTTGCCTAAATAGAGAGAGAACTTTTCACCTGAAAAGAACACTTCAATGCTACGTCCTTGGCTAGTTTTCTTGACAACCTTAAACTGAAACGAGGATTATTTCCACTTGAGGGAAGCAGTGACTTGTATCTGTTTCCTCTCTCTCCTTCAAACCAAATAAAAGGGTAATATTACCGTAGAATCTAAAAGCTATTGTGTATATATAAATAATCTATATATAATAATAAACATTAAAAACAGTAAAAGAAATCAACTTTCGAAGAACTACAAGTATAGTCGAGGAATCGAGGCTTTGGCCAAACCAAAAGCACGAAATCTAGATGCTATGGTTGATGACATTCACACTGACGAGAATATTCTAAACGCGGACCTGATAAAAGTCCTGAATTAGCATGACAACCAATTATAAAGGAGACGAAACCTCCAGCGTCAGCTGATACAGATGTATTTGAGGATGCTTTGGACACGAGTGAGGAGATCTACGCGACCCAGGAGCGTGAGATGCTGATCGAGAACAACGGGACCGGCACGACTGATGTGGAAGTCTTAGTGCTTTTTCTGGTTTGTTTTTCCTACTTTTATTTTGTATTTGTGGTTAATCTTATGAAGTTTATGATTTGGAATTCTAGGGGGGCAAATGGGAAGGAATTTGCCCATACTCTTACTCAAGAGACAATTTCATATGGATGTGGTGTGCACATTAGAGCCTAGAAGCAGTGGTAATAGAGTAAAAAATATCATAAAAAAAATCTGGGGTTTAAATTCTTTGAAATCATTGATGCTGATGGTTTCTCAGGAGGTATTTGGCTAATGTGGAATGATGAAAATATTGTTGCTTTAAATAGACACAACCAATTCCTTCATGTTCTCTTTGACAATTATGATGCTAAATGGGAATGTTTGTTTATTTATGCTAGTCCCCAAGAATCTAAGAGAAGAGATTTATGCCCTGTTCTTCAAGATATTATAAAGAATTGCCCTTTTCCGTGCTTGTTGGGAGGTGACTCTAATGAAATTAGGAGTGTTAATGAGCAGAAGGGTGGAGGCCGTGTTGGTATTAGTAGATGTGATAATTTTAGTAATTGGATCAATAGATGTAATCTTATTGATTTTTTACCGCTAACGGCCCTTCCTTCACTTGGCATGGACCTAAATGGTTAAATTTAGATCATGTTTATAAGGGACTTGATGGATTTCTGGGCTGTGAGAGTTGGCAATGACTTTTTCTTGAGGCTAACGTGAGAGTTATTCCTAAGATAAGCTCAGACCATCATCCTATTTTAATGCATCTTTCCATGAATGCTTTTGGGCATCGCGATCGGCCCTTTTGTTTTGAAGCTATATGGCTCACTCATGATAATTTTAAGAATTTTCTTGCTGCAAATTGGAATAATGAGGTGATTGCCAATGACCATATTATAATTATGCAATCCAAACTTAGCCATTGGAATAGGGAGGTGTTCGAGAACATTTATCATATGAAAGAAGGGTTGCTTAGAAGAATCGGGGTATTCAAAAAGCTTTGGAAAACCAATTTAACACTTTTTAGAAGATTTGGAAGTTAAGCTTTCTAAAGAGCTTGAAGACACATTAACTCAAGAAGAAGTGCTTTGGTTCCAAAAATCTAAAGGTCAGTGGATTACTCAAGGTGATAGGAATATGAAATATTATCATACCAAAACTTTGATTTGAAGGAGGACAAATAAAATTACTATGCTTAAAAATCACCAAGGTGATTGGATTGATGATAGTGTTGGTATTTGTCATCTTTTATTGGAGTTTTTCCAAGAGCATTTTTGTGAAGATATGAAGCATAGAATTTGGATCACGACTAACCAAGGATTCGATCGTGTGAGTATTGCTTGTATTGATAGAATTGGGAGATGGTTGACTATAAATGGATTCAAGAGCCTTGGTGAGGATGGATTTCAAGTTGTCTTTTATCACAGGAATTACGATATCGTGGGAGACAATGTGTGTCGGTTCATTAAAAGACTCTGGATGAGTCTTTTCATATTGCTAGTATTAATAAAACATTGATCTCATTTCTAAAGTGGACAATCCTAAGAGAGTTGCTCAATTCAAGCCTATATCTTTGTGCAATGTTCTGTATAAAGGTTTGAATGAAGTTATTGTGAATTGTTTGGAGCCAATTATGAATAAACTTGTATTCTTGTATCAATCAAGGATTGTACTAAGAAGAAAAAATCATGATAACATAATCATTGCTAGAGAAATTGAGCATGCTATGTCTCGTATGACAAGTCAGAAAGGCTTTATGGCTATTAAAATAGATTTGAAAAAAGCTTATGATAAGATTAATTAGAACTTTGCTATTAACATCTTGGAGGAAATTGGTACACCCAACCATGTAATCAATGTGGTTTCTCATTGTATGAAGACTATAAACTCCACGATTCTATGGAATGGCACTGTAAATACTGTATTTTATCTAGGCTTCTAGATGTAAATTAAAAATAAATAAAAAGCCCAATAAATTTGAGTAAATTAAAAAAATAAACTAAATAAGGAAAAATAAGATTTTATTAAAAAAATAAAATAACATCTTCATAATTTTAAAGAAATTTTTTCCTTTTTCATGGCCCTCAAATCCCCTCATTGTTGTTGTTGCTTTCAAATTGAAAATCTGAAATAATAGGAAAAAAAAAAGTCAAATGAGGATTTGATTTAATATGAATGATTCTGGTATTAAGTGAAAAAACCCTAGTTGATGCCTATAAAAGGAATAGCAAAGAGGCCAGAGGAGGAAGGGGGAGAAAAAAAATTGAGGAAAATTTAGAAAAGGAAAGGCACGGATGGAAGGCATAAAGGTTGAGAGATCAAGGGATAGTGGAAAAAGCGCATAAAAGACCCTCGGTATGTTATCCTCATTTACACATTAGTTTTCATTCGTTTATAAGAATCCATGATCCCATCTACCAATGTTTCATCTCCAATCACCATAGTTACCCACTTGTCTTTAATTCTCTCAATGAGAAATGATTGTGCTTGATTTAAAGTAGAGATGCAAAGCCTGCAAGGTATTGTGTAGCATATGAATTCATTATGAGTGGAGATGAACTTAAGTCTTGCATATAATGTATAATGTTTCTTTGTAATGATTTTTGTTAAAATAAAAATTTAGAAGTTGCCACATGGTTGACCTTTCTTGTGTTTACGGTTTGTCTTTGTGCTAAACTCTCATTGATTGGCATTAAGTTTTCTTTCCTTGTATCCTTTGATAGCCATTGTTAATAATATATATCTCTATCGATGAGAATACTCATGCATTTACGTGATATAGATTAATAGGATGGGAATACAATTTTTTTCCTTCTTCTTCTGGATCCCTTCCTATTTCATTGTTTTGTCAAAAACAAAAGAAACAAATTGTGGATATTAAATTAGTCTGTGATTACAATCTTATTAATTTTTCATGAGTGATACTAAATCACCGTGAATATCAAGTGTCAAGTTAGAGAAAATATTAAAATTTATTGGCTTGTTAACGATCCACGAGTGATACTAAATCACTATGA